GCAGAGAGATCATGTACAGCAGCAACAGTAGCAGAGGTGCTGGAGGAGACGCTGGCGCAGTAGCTACGGCCGGCGTAGGGCAGGGGATGTGCTCCGGGCCTGCCCTGCAGCGATCCTGTGCCGTTCCCAGGCTGCCTTGCTGCTGCTGCTGCTGCTGCCTTGCTGCTGCTGCTGCTGCTGCTGCTGCTGTTGTATAGTTGTTGCTGCTGTCTTGCTGCTGCTATCTAGATACTGCTGCTGCTATTGTTATCTTGCTGCTGCTGCTGTCAAGTTCTTGTTACTGCTTCTGCTGTCTTGCTGCTGCTGCTGTCTTGTTGCTGCTGCTGCTGCTTCTGCTGTCAAGTTGTTGTTGCTGCTGCTGCTGCTGCATTGCTGCTGCTGCTGTCTTGCTGCTGCTGCTGCTGCTGCTGCTTTTGTTGTCGTTCTGCTGCTACTGTCTTGCTGCTGCTGCTGTCTAATTGTTGTTGCTGCTGTTGTTGTCTTGCTGCTGCTGCTGCTGTCTAGTTGTTGTTGATGCTGCTGCCTTGCCGCTGCTGCTGCTGCTGACTAGTTGTTGCTGCTGCTTTTGTTGTCGTTCTGCTGCTACTGTCTTGCTGCTGCTGCTGCTGCTGCTGCCGTCTTGCTGCTGCTGCTGTAATTTTTGCGCATTTTCTCATAAATGGAAAAATCCGCTATTGTGCTCGACATGTCTGTCCGTCTGTCTGTCCGTCCGTGACTTCACATTTTCGTCGACGAGAAAATGCGCTCTCTGTCACTCACTGCAGTGAGTACTGAGTTATATTTTTTACTTGACTTCTGTTGTTGTTTTGATACTTAAACTGCTTTTGTCTTGCTGCTGCTGTTGTTGTCTTGCTTATAATATGGCTGCTGCTGTCTTGATCATAACCCGGCTGTTATGACCGTGGTCTTTCTCATACCTTGAGCTATTGCTCCTGTAGCTGCTTATATACCATGAAAAACTGCTCTAACGTGGCTGCTACTCGATTTTATAATCCTAACTTGCTATTGCATTACTGCACCTCTGTTCTTGACATACTATCGTCCTACATTGCCGTTATTCGTGCCATGCTACAGTTGTTTTACTTCCCTGTTTCTGCTGCTGTTTTTGATCCTCCAACTTTCTTATATTCCTCGCCCATAATCTTAGCACGAGAGTTCATGCATTCGTTCGATTGGTTTTTTACAACGACAATTGGTCATTTTTTCTCATCTAACAATAAGTCTGCAATTTGAGATGCTGTCTTCGGCCGAAACAATTACTGCGAGTGTCGAGGCTGTGTGTGTTGTATTGCATATGCGTAGTGACCTCTGATGCCTGAGCACGTCTCATCCATCCTCTTGATTGCCTTGCTAAAGAAGAGCCCACATGCAGCTAGCCGCTCTACCAAACTTCCTATCAACGCCAAACCTTTTATTACGAGCATCAGTCGGTGATAAACTCGATGGATTTAAATATCTATTAAGTTTCAGAAAAAGTACCGCGATTTATTAGAGTAGTATAATTGAATTCGAGTTTCATGACGGGAGAAATTTATGGAGTTGAGTTCTGTTTATACGTAAAACTGATCGCAATGTTCGCTCAGACGATAAAGTTTGTTTACTGTGGAATGTAATGTCCAGCTTCGAAGTTTTAACTAGTTTAATTCATCTTCTCTTTTATACCACATCGAACAAGCTTCTTTGCTGCTAGTCGTTATAAGCAATAAACCTGCGGCTCCTGTAAAATGATGCAGCTAGAAAGCTGGCTAATATATAATTTATATAATAGATGGTAAAAAGATCATGATTTGATTCGTCCCTGACACCTACATTTCATAAGCAAAAATTAAAGAGATGCTGAAGTCATTTTGCTTTATCAATATATGTACAACCTGGAAATTGAGAAGAAGGTGCAAAATGCTGCAAATATAACCTAATTAAAATGGAACAAAAAATTCTCAAACTATTTTGCTCCGATAGAGATGATGTTTTGTTGAGAATCCTGTTCAGAAGAATAGTCAATGAACAGCTTTTGTACAGCGAAATCGCGGGCTGGCAACACAAAGTATGTATACCATGGCGAATTCTTCGCACAGGTCTGCAAACGCCGTTTTTATGCACAAAAGTCGTCCACTCACGGATACCGGACGGATAATAATCAATTCCGTGCATGATGCATCAATTAATTATTAATTCCGTGCAGAGTATTAATAATTTTTGCTCCATTTTTACCGTATATATCATCTACATATGTGTCATTTCTATTGCGGGGTAAGTCCTATATCCGTACAGGTCTAGTAAATACGCATGCAAGGATATTCGATACGTACAGAATTTAAATTTCACATTCAGTTTAAAGCCCGTTTAAAAATAGTGTGACACTTTTATATAGGTGCAAGCTGTAATTTTCGACTGGTAAACGATACTTATGGCTTACATTGTGCGAATGGCCATTTTTATTTATGTGAACCATAGAGCAAAAAAATGCAACGATTATAGACTGGAATTATCGGCAATCTGCACTAATACTTTGATTAATTTTCAATAATCGAGCAATTTGAATTAAGCTTTGCTATGTCATAACAGACATTGAAGAATAGATAAGTTTATGCTGTTTACTCCTCTTTCTTTTAAAAATTATTTTAATTAAGATAATTAACACTTCTTCTTGTAATATAATCAACACTTAACTTCTGAACATTATACCCAAAAAGGGCATTAAGCCCCACTGTGTTCACGGTATATTCTAGTTATACATAAATTTTCTTCAGAATATGACGGCTAATAGCATAAATCCTGCCGCCTCATATCTGCCCCCGCCAGGTCGCGGGGGCCGCGGTTGTGAGGCAACTCATCAGGCGCCCGGGGCGCGATTTATCGCACTCGCTGCGTGACTATCAGCGATGATGAGACCAGCTAACCCACCAACATCAGCGATGATAGCGTGTACCACCTCACTAATATCAGCGATGATGAGGCCTGCTAACCCACCAACATTAGCGATGATAGCGTGTACTTCCTCAATAATTTCATGCAATGATAGCAGAGACTCCCTCACTAATATCAGCGATGATAGCAGAGACTCCCTCACTAATATCAGCGAAGATAGCAGCGACTCCCTCACTAATATCAGCGATGATAGCAGAGACTCCATAACTAATATCAGCGATGATAGCAGAGACTCCATAACTATTATCAGCAGTGATGGGGTGTACTCCAACTACTATCAGTAATGATAGCACCAACGCGCACAAATATCAGTAATTATGACATGTACTCGCTTAATAACAAAGATGATAGCAATATAATTTTCGTGCAAACATGATATTAACATGATTGCTGCACGTTCCCGCTAAGAACGCTTCCTCGCGTGACCTAACCTGACAACAAGAGCATGAGTAATATTACAGTGAGGTATTTGAAAACTATGATAAAGTATTTTGTTTTAGGTTTCTATTACGATTACTATGCAAAAAAGGTGCCGTGATAACACATGAGTGATTTTGCTGATTCATGGCCATAAGTTAACGATAGATAATTTAAAGTTTGCGAGCAAACCTTAAATATAATATAATATTGTAAACTGAAATTATTTTATCAACAAATCGAAGATTCTTGGAAGAGTTCAGTATTCCGTGATGGTCATCATCAGGTGAAAAAATGGCCTGCCCGTCACGCATGCGCACTGCAGAGCAGTCGCACGATCTCGGTGAGCAGCGCAATGCGCAACTGTGTTCCGAGAAAGAAACTTGGTCGCCACAAGGGGATCTCGTTAGCGCAATTTGTCGGCTGATCCTTCAAGTTCCATATATACTGGACCATCAACGCATGCAGTCTTTGTTGCCTTTGCTCATCATTACTGGCAGGAATTTTGCTTGGTATATTAAGGCCGCGCTTGGTTATGGCAAGGTTATATTTGCACTGCTGACTCTTTGTTCATTAGTAGCTTGAATGACTATTTTGCTTCATGGGTGTGGTGATTCTGCTGGGTTTCGTAAGAGGAGCAAGTAGCTGAAAGGATCGGAAATTGATGCTCAGAGGTCAATACCGTACTTTATGGCTTCAGTTTACATTAATTTTTTTTCATAAATATGCCCATAAAACACAATTGTTTTAATAAGAGAGAGTTTTTATGGGATTTTCAAGGCTTCAAATAGGTTTGTACTTCATCAAGTTAAAGTGCGAGATTATTTTCATCGTAATGTTTTACCACGATGAAATAATCGTAGTTTTAAAATTTGGTTACTGATGGTAACTCCGAATACCAGATCTTTATGTACGAATAGCGTTGACGACGATCGATGTATATGTAGACAAAATAAGGTGGCTTCATGCCAGCCGAAGGCCTGTAGGTCAGAAGCGCTGAGAAGGCAGCGGTCAGTGGCTACTAACTGAGCGGCCTCAGCTCGAGCGCTCGTGATGGCCCAGGGCTGAGGTTTGCCTAACATGGGCGTTCCAAAGGAATAAATTATTCCAGGAGCATTTTTAAATAAAAATAACATCGCGTCGGCACCTCGGGGTGCACAGCAGCTCTCACTTGTGCTGTCGTTGTGCTGGGGTACAAGTTTTTAATACACGTGTAATCTGCCACGTGAACAATATATAATTACTCTAATGTGTGTCGTTAAAGAATAAATAATTCAGTCAACATACGTGACAGGTTTTCATGTCAACTGCAGTACTTTGAACCGCTTTACCCCACAAAATAATCAAATGAATACCTATGAATTCGAGAACTAAGGAATTCTACAGTAAACAGGTGTCACCTCAACGGATAAAGTATTATTTTCTACAGTCCGACATCAGGGGCGATCTGTATTGAGATCGCCGAGTAAAAAGTACTTGAAAACCGTGATGGAGTCACGCCTCGACTGCTCTGATCCCAACCAGATGACTCTGAAGTGCTGGGGTTTGCAAATATAAGAAGTAAAGAAGTTCAATCGCTGGACTGTTGAATATTGCTCGAGATCGTTTGTGATTTTAAAAAGGGATTTGCTACCGCGAGGGAAAATAAAATACCGTTTCAAAAAATAGACGACAGTATATTTCGCAGAAAATATATACAACTCAAAAATTATTCAGGCGTATTTACATGGAAAAGTCAGCCATCTGCAATACCGAAGTTGTTGCTCTATAAGGCATGAGATGTTTCTTCGCTGGCACCTAAGACTGTGAGATGAATAACACAACTCAAACAATATCCTGTGAACCACGAGTAAACTATTTGAAAAACAAATTAAATAGATTAAAAGTGGAAAAGTTTTAGCTGGTTAAATTATCAAATTAAGTCAACGGCAAATTAAAAATTTAGAAGAATTGAGAATGAATCCAGTTAACCAGAATTATCGAGAAATCAGCCTGGAAAATTAGATTTCACCGAACCAGCAAAGCCTAGTGGATGATATGGAGATCAAGATACGATTATAACTGTAAACGAGCAACAACTACAAAACGTCAAAGAACATAATTAACTCGGTCTCGAAAATAACAGACAGAAGCACAGACATAACAACAATCTTTCATGAACAAACGCCCATTCGTTATTTCAGCTCGATGGAAAATAGCACCCAGGATCTTCACGACCATACACAGTAAAATACTATGGAATTTGAGCAATATCTTATCGTAGATGTAGACTAATACATAATAATCGATTTCTGGACGAGAAAACAACAATTATGAGCCTGGTATAATTACGAGAGTAAGAATTCTGACCGCATTTGAATCAAATATTACGAAGTGAAGGCAAAACATTACGTGTATTACAGGCGGCTTTATTTAAGAAAATATTCCATCGCTGATCACGAAATCGGCGTATATTATTTTGAAATATAAACCTAATTTCAATTTACTATTCAGACAAATTTGTTTGCACTGGCTCGTGTAATCCATTGGCTCTGATAATTGATATAAACTTCGAACATGTTACGGCAACAAAGTCATTACCCCAGTAAAGATACAGCTTTGCTTTCATACAAAAATTGCAAATCACCCCATAGAAATAGGATATATTACCTACATATTTACTTCTTATGAGATCAGAGCAAGTCACAATCCATTCACAATGCAAAATCTTTTAAATTTATTTCATTTCATATAACTATTCAGTCTTTTAAACCTCCCTCAAAATTACGAAGATACAGTCAAGGTAACGAACGACATTGACGAGCATTACACACCGTTGACAAAAAATGGGATTCGTTCTGGGAAATGGAGTTACTAATTTATCACAGTTATCAAAGTGGGACATTAATCATTCAGCACGCATTTTAATCCGCAACAAGTACAAGCACTCCCTATCTGGAATTGAAGAGCAGTAGGTATCACAGACGCATTATTCTCTCGCCCGTTACCATGACCGCAGCTCACATCAACCAACCTCATTTAAAACACCGTACATCTGAACTTCTGCACACCAGATGCGGACAATTCCATACGAGGCCATTTAAGTGCGAAAAATTAACAAATAAATAACACTTTACATAATATACGATTAGGAAAATTATATTTCAACATCTTTGGATGTACATTTGACTAAAGAAGTGCTATTTAATAAGATAATAGTCACTCCAGATTTGAAAGCTAGCCGTAGTTCGAAACTTGATATCGGGACAATAAAATGCGAACAAAAATTTCTGTCCTCGACCAGATCAACGTCAAATATTTTCATAACGTTTTTCTCTGTTGTCGATGCAACAAAATGAAGAAAAAATCCTCGTATTTTCTGTTTAATAAGAAACAATAAGCCGAGATAAACAATTAGATAGCATGAATATACAACATAATGAGAATCTGAGAATGAGAAATAATTCATGTTGTATTTTGGCATCACTCAGAGCACAGCAAGAGACTCTGCATAATTATTTTGTGAAACTAATGATAAAAATTATTTTGAAATTAGTTAAGGTCAAATAAATGATATAGTATATAAATTGGCTACGGCTAGACTTGGGTGGCAAAATAATCGTCTTCATAATGTTCCTCAATAACATATACAGAAGATGGAGTGGTGCACGTGCTAGGACTGCACGTAGAGTTTAGTGTATTGTTAGATAAGTGAGTGCGCTGGTCCGGCGGCTGCTGGGCAACGACGCTGCTACTTCTGCTCCCGCTACTGTAAACAAAAAACAAAATACGTCAGATAATGTGTACATGCCGCGGATTAAAATAAAAATTAAATTGAGATAATAGCATGACTTGCGTACAGTTGTGAATTAAATTTTTTTCTATACAGAAGGTATCTTGTACAAGAGCAATTTTTTTCCTTGAATTAATGAACGAAACCCCTCACACTAACGGCAAAATTATAATTCAATTTCTTAGGAGGGGTTCAAGTCAGAAACTTCTTCAATGACACGCAAGCTTCAACTAAATATCTTCATACAATCAAACAATAAATACTTCTGCAGATGAACGGGCAGCGAATGTTACGCGAAATGCAGAAATATCACAAGTGCTGAGCCATATTGAAACCAAGCTAAAAAGCTCACTGCAATTTGAAAAATATATGCACTGTAATAAATAAGTAGTGACAATAGTAGAAACAGTAGTAAAAAGACTTGTACGTTTTTTATTCTCACCTTGAGCCGAGAGGAGCAGGGGTGTAGTTTGCACTGCTTGTGTGATCAGGAGTCTTGCAATAAGAGTTATTACCACATTCGTCGTAAACTCTGCGACCACACGCAGCGTCAAGATCTTTCTCTAGTCTCGAGGCCAGCGACAGCCTCGAAGAGTCTGTGTTTAAGGTCTTGGTGCTGCGTGCTGGTGCTATTGAATAGGCGTTTTCAATTGCTTTCTTCGGACACTCTTCGTATGTAGGCGAGAGCTGCTGGGAGTTACTGTCCCCAGACATGTACGATTTAGGGTAGTGAGTGGCCGCAATCTGCTTGTACTGGCTGTCGGTGTTGATCGGTTTCACTGGATAGTCAAGCGAGTTGAATATCATGTGATTCTCGAGGCATTTGTTATTGACAGCGTTGTGTATAAGATTCTGCTCGTTCTGACGTCTGGCCTCTTCGTCCTGTTTCGAGCGCTCCATCTTTCGTCTGCGCTTCATGCATATGATTGCGACAACGAAGCTGATGGCTAAGACAGGTACGGCAACGCTGAAGATAACAATGAGAACAATCTGACCAGATGACATGTCGACTCGAGCTTGAGCCTCACTCAAATGATCGTAATTAGGAATAGGCACCGTGCATTGAGGACCAATTAATCCATGCAAGCATGTGCAACGGTAGCCATTGCTTAGCTCTGGTGCTTCCGAGCAGGTGCCACCATTTTGACACGGAGAACTTTCACAAGGTGAGATGTGCATAGCTCGCTGGTTGCAAAGACGACCACCCCAGCCTGGTCTGCACCTACAGCTGAACTTGGTGAAGGCATCAGATGTAGGAAAACACGAGCCCCCGTTGGCGCAAGGCATATTGGCACAAACGTCTTCAACATTTTCGCACAAATGTCCAAAGTATCCAGTGGGGCATTGGCATTTGAAGGCGTTAATGCCATCAACACAAACTCCATTATTGAGGCACGGTTTCTGAATACAGTCGTTGATATTTGTTTCACACTGCTTCCCAGTAAAGCCGGGGCTGCATACGCAGGTAAAACTGGCGTGCTCATCAACACAGGATCCGCCATTGTAACATGGATTTGAGTCGCACTCATTAACTGCAACTTGACAGGTTTCACCCTCGAATCCAAGAGGGCAGTGACATTGAAATCCCGATTTCGTGTCGAGGCAGGCACCATAATTTAGGCAGGGGCGATCAGCACAGGTCTTACCAGATATATGGCAATACTGACCAGTGTAGCCGGTTGGACACTGGCACACAAAGCCATCGTCGCCGGTATCGAGGCACGTGCCCCCGTTGAGACAGGGGTCCGTGGCGCACGTATGATTCGTCACCTCGCAGTTTGTGCCACTGAACCCAGGGGGACACAGACACGAGTACGAACCAGGTTTGGTATTGAAACAAGTAGCACCATTTGTACAGGGCTTGTGGTTAGTGCAGTAGTTAAGATCTTGATTGCAGAAAAGGCCTCCCCAGCCTTCGTCACAAGTACATTCCCAAGGCGAGTTACAGGAACCGTGATCACAACCGGGATAGATCTTGCATTCATCGCAACTCTTCCCCATCCAACCCAGATGACATCTGTGGAGAAAAAAAAAAAACAATGGAATGAATTTTACGTAATTTGCGGAGGGAATATAGAATTAAAATTAAATAATGAAACATGATCATTTCCATGGGCAGAGGGTAACACCATTTTGATCTTATTGCTTCAAATCTAGTAATGAACAAAGACCAAGTTTCAGCTCAGTGGAATCAGTGACCGAGCAGTGAGCGTATTCCGCTAACACCTGAGACGGGTGGGTGTTCGAGGCTCCTCACTTCCTCTGCAGGTTAAACAACTACGACACTAGACTCCCTCGCTTGAGTATCATGTAACCATTGTATAAAAAGACATCATGATCGCATCGCGGTAACTTGCGTCCGGTAAGTTGCAACTCGGGCAAGAAAACAAGTATTTGAATCAGAATGGAATGTGAGACTGTCATGCCAACATGAAAGAGAAATTGACGGCATTCTTCAAAGAAGCGTAGGATACGCATGCGTATTCAGCTTCGTTAGGCGTTAACACAATATATGAAATTATATAAAATCGATATAGCTTAACTAAAATTATAAGTAAACAATGCTTGCATTCTATCTCAGTGAAAGTATGCTTGTTAACAGAAGACAACAGTTGCTAGAAGACACTACTCATGGCAAAGTTAAACTGGGAGATGGAGATTAATGGATTAATCGTAGAGTTTAATATGAATTGCGTGCAAGAGTAAGTATAAGTAGTGTGGCAACAAAGCTGGCGAGGCCCAGGAGAAGGTTGCGTGTATTTTTAGTTAGCTCTGTGCCACGTCACGACTTCTTGGCATCCCACACTTTTTTATCAAGGCAGCCTCGGGCGCGGCTGTTTCGTAGAAGCAAAAATTGGATAACGTGATCATGTCATGACTTAATAAATATACAAATAAGGAAGTTTGACAAGAAAGAGTTCAAATATTATTTAATTTATTCGAGATGTAACAAACTCAGGGAAAGATACTAAGTGTTTGCCCGAGTAGCAAAAAACGTAAGAAGAAACAATATAAATTCATCTTTGTGCTCTTTTCTACGACGTTATAAATCGTAAACCTTTCCGAAAAGAACAAGAAAATAACAGTACAAGAGAAACATGACGGAAGTTGAACCGATGATGTACACAAGGGTGTTGGAGGTGTGAAGTGTAGGGATTATGCTTTATGATGAGGGGGCTTGCCGTTCAGTAGGGCACATCTAGCACCGGGGCATGACAAAGTACTGTAAAATGAGGCCATGTGGTGTACGTAGGAAGCATCTCTCGGAAACCGTTGACGAGGGGAAAAATCTAGAGGTTTGAAAAAATGATGTTATCATTTATTTCATGATTTACGCACTCGTAGCTACCTAAACGACATATTAGGATTAGTACACTAATAGGACATGTAGTGTAAACATGCCGACATTGTTAAAGTAAAAGGAAAGCTGGAAAATAAATTTGATTACTGTCTAAAAAATGCTAGCGGTTTCTAGCATAAAGAAAACAGGAAAATTTTTAATCTTTCCCTTTTATCGGTACACATGAGACATGTCATATTTTGAAGTAAATAATTGACATTTGGTGACAAGAGAAGATAGTATATTCGCATTTCAGACGCAGACGTGACCAGGGATGGGAGAGAGTAAGGTGCGTTAATAGGGAAGAGAATTCGGGTCTGTATGCCAAGTGGAGCAAGGCAAACGCCGAGTAGATCGAAGGCCTAGACCAGAGTGACAGACACGAGCCATAAAACGAACACGTGGCCCAGTAGAAACGTTGTAAAATTATTTTGTAACTGTACAAGAGGAGCTGGCAAATAGCGTGTTAACGAGAGTGAAGTATTGCCATCAAAATCATGGAAACTAGTAGAACCGTTTGGGAAATTGTACAATTAATACAGCAAGCTGAAAAAACATGCAAATAAAGATAACTATAGTATGCCTATGTTCGAAATTCGGAATCCAAACAACCATATTAATTTAACAGATTTTATTGTCATAAAATCTGTAAGCATTCGGAGGAAATTTTTCTTTTGCTATAATTTCATGCATTTTTCTGATCATTTATGCAAAAAGCACGGGTAGTTACGTTCGTTGGAGTTACTACATTTTAGAAAAATTATAAGAAAATAAAGAATCAAGTATTTTCGCACCTGAACCTCATATCATTTGCAGATTTCCGTGGAAATAATTAATGCTAAAACGAGGACTCATGATACTCACTGGCACTCGTTGGGTTTCTCGCAGAACCCATTGACAGAGTGACATCCAGCACTGCAGATCGCTGTGGAGAAGAATAGTACAAGTTAGTTGGCGATGCATATGAACGATTTAAATTAATTAGGTAACATTTTACAAAGCTTAGTGTAGAATTCAAGAGGATAAATAAGATATCTGTATTCCAAGTAATTATAATAAACGCCAGAATACGAACAATTCGGAGTGAAGTATTAATTCGGAGTACCTATATTTAATGAATGTTAATTACGTCTTTCTACAACATATTTAACATTACTTGCGTCTACTAAGGGACAGGTGATTCCTGAAGTCCATCATTTTCATAATGATCCTAGGTGGTGTGATATTAAAAACTAGACAATCAAGACTATGCCCCGGGCGTTAAATAACTCACGTTTGATGCAATACTGTTCAGGATTTTGCCAGCCCTCTAGACACTGAACGTTGCCATGGGCATCACAGACGTAGTGACCGAAGGCATCGTCACGAGGCCTGCACCATTTCCTGCAGCCTTTACCGAAGTAATTATCCTGGCACACGACACGAAACTGGTAGCTGAGAGACGAGTGAGCTGCGCTCTCCTCGTGAGCGCTCCACTCCGAGTTCACCTCCAACGATCGCTGAGTCATGAACCGATGGACCAGCACGGGACCTGAGAAACACAAAAATACGATACTTAAAAGTCTGCTCGGGAACACAGAAATGAGTCGTGAGTTTCAGCGGCATGTGAATACACACTCCAAAGGAAGAAAAAACGTCTTTTACAGGAGGTGATCGCTTTCATTATCGGCACAAGAGATTTAAACTCGGCTCTAAAAAGACAGTAAACTACTGAGCGTAAGAGGAGGGCTTGACAGCGTAACAAGATCAGGGAAACATGGTAAATGTACTTAGGGAAACAGAGCAGTAAGCTCGTTGCTGGGCTAATAAAAAGGCATAAACCCATGACAAAAATAAGAAACTTCCTACAGAAAAAGAACAATACGATCTAGTTTGCGTACACTGAAGAACCAACGACAAAAGTAGTAAAGTTTTCGTGAAACATTGTACCAGAAAATAGTAGCTTGTGATCTTCACAAGTGTGAAGTAGCTTGTGATCTTCACATTTTATAGTGACTTCACTAGAAAAGGGAACTCCACAACACCTCGTTCCTTTTCATTACAGAAATTCGCACGGTAAGTATAAGTTGGCGCGTAATAATGAAACGACGTGAAGCCTCACATCGTCGCGACAATATTCTAGGAACGGCAGCGAAAACCACATCCTGACGGCGCGGTGGACGACGGCAGGCTTCTGGGCAGGAAGTGGAGGAGCCGTGGGAAGACAGTCTTCCCACGCGCTCTGATCGCCACACTTACGTCCTGACACCGTCTCTACAGGCTCACTGTCACCTAATACTGAACTGCCCCAGGTGTTGAGGATAGATAATTTGATTCTGAACGGGTGGTGTTAGTTTTCGGTCATTAAGTTCAGCGAAAGGTGATCAACTAGAATACACATAGCCCCACTGTCTAACGAACATGCAGTATCAAGTTCATCATATTGTCTGGTATTGGGTATCGTCAATAGACGGGGTTTAAGCAATTTAATTATCGCGACCTGGATTGCGTTTAAAAGTGATTCTGATGCTGGAAAGCGCTGCTGCAGGCAATGCGAAGAGATTTAGAACACTGTTATGTGCCATCATGCGAAACTATTTGAAAGAAATATCAGCGTTGTTCTTCGCGAATTCGATACATTTATGACAATACTAAAGCATATCTTGCTTTTGAACCTTAGAACCAAATAACGCGTTTGTTTGAGTGTGCTTTTCGATAGCAGCCCGCGGGCGCAAATAGCAATCAAAGACAGGATTCTCAGGAAACGAAACCCTTTAGGGCCAACCGGAGCCACTTTCCACGCCGCCGGATATTGAAGCGCGACTAACGAGCTCTTTTTCGAGTGTGAAGCGCAGACGTGATTGCAAATTATCGATCTAAGGAAGTCTCAAAAAAGGAACGCGCATAATATGGAAATTAAGAAAAGATCAGTATTTACATATACTGTATATACAGTTTCATAACTGATTTGATTTCCATAATTGTTTAATCTTCGCACCAATGACCCTTTAGATATAAGATAGTTCTGTTTTATACATAGCGCAAGGCTTTAAATTTAATTTCATAGGAACAAGAACTACTACAGAGCCCAAATTTTCCATTGATAAAACAAAAAAACGAGTCCTATTAAAACAGAAGCTAGCGGAGAAAATTATTCTGACGAAGAAGGCAAGGATTGAGACGTGTCACAGAGGAATGAACAGAAACAGGACCAATGAACAGGAGCAGCACCTAACAGGTGTTGAGATTCAAGCGAGCTCTGATATGGGTAGGCCTAGGTAGGCTCATTCCCACGCATAGTCGGACTCGCGTAGGCTGGAAGTTCGACTGTAATAGATCGTAGGTTAAAGGTTAGAATGTAAGTAATGGAGTGTTTACTGTATTTCAGAATGTAGGCAATAGAGCGTAGGTAGTCGGTAAGAATGTAAATGCAAGAGATTAGGAGAGAAATATGAAGTTTGAAACCTACTAGTAAAGTCTAGTTGAGTCACGAAGGTAGATAAATGTGGTAGATATACAAGGTGGGTGAGTAGAGTTTCACTAGAATTTGTAAGGTTACAAGCATGTATAAACTTTAATTCCTGCACTAGAGGTACAGGTGCAACTGAACCTCTAATGTGCCACGATTGGCATCGTGGTTAGTTTCTACAACCTAGTTACGCGAAGGCGAATTCTAAAATACTTCGAATTCATGAAAGAATATCAAGTGAAAGCTCCCGGTTATATTTTAAGAAGCATAAATATCGAAAAATGAGAAAATAAAAAAACGACGGAAGTACCTATGGCTGATTCAAAGAATTCTGAACTGCCCAGTGGGTATTTTGGTACAAAAATGAAACCCAAGATGGGAACATAATTAGTAGACCCGAAGACGAAAGTTTGCCTGAGAAGTCCTGTAAGGAAAGACGGTCTAGTGAGATCTCAGCTGGCTGGTAACAAGCCCAAATAAAAAAGGAGGCCCAGGCGTCTAACAGCTGTCTCATGTGCTTCCCATGGCAGTGACGGCAAGCATTCCCGTACAGCAGCTGCCCAGCTCGAGCTTCTTAACCTAAAAACAAAGCTGCGTTCCCACACTACCGGCCGTGAAGGCAGATGGCCAGTGCTTGCTTCCAGTCATATCCTACCTTACGAAGTCACTCCAGGCAGGGCTAACATCACTGGTTGAACCAAGGTGATTGAAAGAAATATATCTATATAGTGCCAGGCGTTCTTTTAATACGTTTGCAATCTTTTAAGGAGAGTCGAATACTATTCACCAGGAAGCCAAACTTCAAATGCTGTTTGTTAGAAAATGAACATTACTACGCTTAAGTCATTTCAATGGGGCATTGGAGTGCGCAATTTTTCGCAAATGAAAACAAACGAAACTTAACCTCAAATGTAGTGAACGTTTAACATGGGTATTTATTAGAAACAGAAAGGTACAAACAACTCCTGAAGTATAATGCTAACGTAGAGCGAGTGGCATAGATATCGTTACGTGCAACAGACAATCGTTCAGTGATAACGTCTTTCAAATCAATGATAGCATCACAAAGAGCCCATTGAACTAGAATTACTAGACAGAGAGAAGCTACTGTGTCTTATCAAACTCCAGCACTACCTTCACTGGGAGGCGCGTATCACGATTAGTGCTGATTATTCTTCACAGTGCAAGTAGTGATCGTACAGAAATATGTTGGTATATTAGAAAGCTATAGAGTAGGCAATTGCTGCTTTGATTGCAGCGCTTGAATAAATATTAGGAATAATGCATTTTGAAAGGACTCACAAAAGACTATCATTTTCATACACTTTTGTTTGTAAATTAGAAATGAATAACAAGTAGAGAAGCTCAGTTAAATGACTTTGTTCATTTGGTAGTCGAGATACCGGTAGACGTTTTACGATACTTGCAACAGGGTGATTGATGTTAGTAAAAAGTTCACATATAATAAAGAATTTAGGAGTATATGTAAAAATCGTGCTTATAAGCAAAAGATAACAAACGCACCAAATCTATTTGTCAGATCTGCGGACATATTTTGCACGATGACTCTGTCATTTACAATGACATGAGAGCATAGCATATATATAGTGACAACTTGTTGAAACGAATCACTTTTTAAAAGACACATGATGGAGAAAGTTATTGAATAAAATTGAGCTCAAGATAGTAATGATTAATGTCATAATATGACACTTTGCAACATTTACTACAATCAGTTTGACAAATCATAACACAGCTTGTATGTTGCTCAGCAAATATCTAATTAGCCGATGGGAGACTGGCCAGAGTTCAAGTACCATAATATTTCATAATATTTCAGAGTTTATAATATTTGAATGTTCATTCGTAAAAACTTTAAATTACAAAAGTCCTCTCATATAAACGCATAAAAAACGCAGGAGTAGCTTCGAATAACGGATACACATTTGACTAATTTGAAAAGCAGAGTAGCAATAGAAACAAGGCAAATTATTACCGTGGACTTCACACTAACATTGCCTTCTAGAAGTTTTGTTACATCACAGCAAGCTTTTCAAAGTAACTTCTAGGAAGCACAATGACGTAGTAGAGGTAAAAAATACGTTTTGTGCCTGAAAGTTGAAGAAACTAACATTCGCAAGTTAAAATATGAAAATGAACAAATTGATAACGTGCATAGGTACAGAACAAAATGTAGGCATCTCAACAAACATTAGTTCCATTAAATAGAAGTACAACACGATTGAAGAAGTACAACACAAACAGATCAAGGAAGTTAGGGAGAATAACAATATAGAAAAGAGCGGAGGAAACATCGATACCCAAGCCAGAGGTCGGTTGTAGCGCCCTCGCTACCCTCGGACCATCTGGCGAGGAAGCCACTCACAGGAGGGAGGGAAGGGATAAGTAAGGGAGGGAAGGGAGAAGTGATGGAGGGAAGGAAGAAGTGAGGGAGAAAACAAGGCAAACTTCGTACCAAAGAGAAAGAAACACGACATTACTATTGGGCATGGAAAATACGAAGTTGACTGGAACTAGTTTTCTGTCTCATTTCAGGCCGAGTTTATGTCTTCGTGTTTCTAAAAATTTTAGATTAAATAGAGCACAGTTGCAGTAATTGAGATGAAAGGTTATAGTATAATGAGATCAATATTACATTCGATAAACTAAGCGGGCATATAACTCATTTGTATAACATTATTCCCGAAGTGAATTGATGTAAGATAAAGGTGAAATATAATTAAGATTAACTAAAGTTGCAATCTACGGATGCGAAGATTAGAATGGAATTAACTCTGGTCAGCAGAAAGTTGTTAATGCAATGTGATAAAAAACTTTATAAAATCGATCTATGAACAATTAATTATTATAAAAAAATAAGCCTCATAGATAATTTAATGTTTCTTCGTCCCATGAACGAAGCAAACGTATAGATACATTAATTCATACACGAATGAAGCAGCACGCGGAGCATGAGAGGAAGAGGCAGCTGAATTCAGTCGTCTATTCGCTACCCACACTAAAATCAATGTGATAAAATATCGACCGAGAACACTAGGAATAGAGCGATTCCTGGGGCGGTAACGAGCGGCGTCAGACACAGCTGGGCCGATGTGCAAACGGGAATCGATGGAATATAGGAGGTTCTAGCAACAAATATCGACATGGTTATGAACGTCACAAACAATTTGGTACAAAAGGTTTTCGATCGAACATGTGGTAGTTATAGTTGGTGGTACCAAATTGTAAAGAAAATTAGGGTAAAAAATATTAACGAAGAAACGTGTAGTAACCGACTTAGTGCTTAGGGATGATAAAAATGTTGAAGTACTGAAAAATTGGAAGAAGGTGTGAAATTTTTGCCCGAAAGCATCTGAAATGAAGCTATATGCAAGGTACTGAATTTCAGATCAGCGTAACAATATAAAATCAATCTAGATCGTAACGTCTTTATATATATTTAAACTAAAAAACAATTTCAGCGATCAAGTTCAGGGGCCAAAACCAAAAAAAAACCTCACTTGACGCTCCAAGCCAAATAAGCCACACGACTTCTGAGTTCTGAGTAAATTCAAGTTGACGAAGTTGAAATTCGTTAATAAGAACCAACAAATTCAATTTATATCTTTTTCATTTGATTCAACAAGAGGACTGATTTACTTTACGCTTAAGTATCAGGGGTCAAGACTATGATCAAAGGTCGACGGGGAAGCTTCCAATTTCGTAACAAAATGCTAAGACAATCCTAAATTTGATTATCTCTTAAAGGTAAAGTGGTTAAATAATACTATTTAAAAAATATTCATATAAAATTTTCAAAATCGCTAATAAATTTTTGGTGTTTTTGATGACCTAGTGATGATCACACGCCATACGCATATTATTTTGGTGATGAGACATAGGATGTGATAATACGACTGTAGAACTAAGGTGAACTCACCGGCATAGGAGCTGGTACCGTTGTTGTCGTGCCAAGCTTCAATGATGAGCGAGAAGGTATCCTGCGTCGAGAATAAAAATCAGCACGTCGAGTAGGAACAACACAGAACACAATTTTATATAGACGAACTATCAACTGATTTCATAACATCACACGTAACGCGCGCGTCCAACTTCCAAGGTAAGGTAAAATGCAACCGACAACGCTGGCTATATAACGGCCACACATTACATGAGGAGACTTTCCTAAATGCTACCTAATCAAGACTGAATAAAATTCAGTAGACTTTTTTCAATAAGCCATCACTTCTCTTTGAGCAGCTTCTTCACTTTTTCACCACTTGATGCTCATCAATGCCATAACACTGTCAGAGTCACATTTCACAGTTCACCGCACAAACGAATTTAGTGCTAAAACGATTCCTAAATTTCATGCCAGAAACCGAGGTCGACGTTGCCGGTTGCATCTACACGAACATTTACAGGCGCGGCATTAGAGTGAAGAAACGAATACAGTTTAATAAAAACGAATCAATTATAAAATTCAAATTTGAAATATACAGGTTCAGGTTTCATTTATTTCACAGCATAAAATATTTGACGACATATTCTACTAAAGTGAAATTTAATTAGTAATTTTTCACTTTTTCTTACCTGCCAAGACTCAAGACTAAACTGCAAAGGATTTAAGAAGCCGTCAGCCTGCACTACAGAGAAATCAATTTCGTTCTCTCCAAGGATCGGCGTTTTGATTTCTCCGAAGGTGCAGGGTGACCGGTAGTCAATAACTTCTTGGTAAACTTTGAGACAGACTCGGAATTTTGTTAAGCATTTCTCAGAGCATCGGCCATTGGTATCTCTGAAGCCGCTACAGCAATGACCTTGGTAATTGTAGCCATTGAGGTTGACAAATTTTTTCAGTTGAAGCTCAAACATGGCATTGCTCGCAACCTGAAAACGACAGAAAATGAACCCATTAGACCAGCGAAAATTTGACGCGAGGTTGCACTTTTGGCACGTGCTCCACACCACTACGTAATCAAAATATGACGTTTAAAAATAATTTCAAAACACTGGGAATATAAATATTTTATGTAATTTGAATTCACTGTAAAAAGAACTTTCGTACCTGCTGCGAATATGATAAGAGTAGGAAAGATATAACGGCGAAGGCAAGCCGCCGCATGGCTGTTAACGAGTGGGGGATAGATCACTAGGTTATAACGCACATCCACACTCGGCACAGTTTACGAGGAGACTGAAGCGTCAAAAGCCCAAGCTCCTGCTGTTGCTGCTACTCACGCTCCGCCCGCCAACTTGCAAGCATACACACACAGCGTTACGTACACACGCATACAAATCCACACACGCACACAGCAGCTACTACAGCTACAATACATACGACCTCACCCTGAGCCGTAGGTATGAATGACTGCAGGGGAAACTGCTGTCTGAATACCTTTGGGCTAATATACAAGGAAACATATTTGGAAGAAAATTATCGTATGTGATGAACTGAGAAGTTACATTTGAACAACTTTTACTGTGAATGGCAAATAGTAGTTCACATGATTGAATCCGGTTCAAATGTGATTGGCGACGAGCTTTTCAAGGTAAGCGCAACTATTGATGCTTATTTTAGCTTGAAGGCATACGCTACACCCTGGGAGAGCTGAGTGGGTGCCAATGAAAGTCTCGGGAGATACTCAGGAAATTAAAGAGGAGGAAATAACAACACGCATTAAATGAAATAAACTTATATGTATCGTAAAAATGCGTTTCATATATGACTGATTGGTATGTGTTATCACAAGAATATTGTGTGCGTTGCCAATTCTACGCAGGCTGTTGATTTTTCCATCTTTCCATCTTCACCACATTATTCTTCCTAAAGAATTAAATTTTGGATGATACCAAGTGACGGTAGACATTTTTCTTCTGAAAGTGTTTCCCGCCAAGCCGGCGCATCGCCATGGCACGCAGCTAAGGTATAGAGTTGACTGCCGGCTTCAGGCCGATTAGTGTATATTGGTCGGAATTGGTCCTACTCATATCTGATATAGAAAGAGGAGCATGATTCAAAATGTGAACGCAGTATTAGGCCGATATATTTTATTTTAATACGAAAGTCTCTGAAACTGCAAAGGTTTGGAAAATTTGTGCAACCGTGTGACTCAAATCTCTTTGCCAGTGTTGGAATCTTGGCTGCGTTAGTTTCAAAACTGTGTTATCCACCTTAAAACACTACTAATAAATAACAAAAAGTATTCTGAAATGCTACGAAACCAGTGTTTGATAAACGTAAGTACTTTTTACTGTCATTTTGAATACATCAAATATCATTTTGATGCGACTCTTTTGTTTCATACAGTAACAGTGTACATTGTCATTTGTATTAGTGTAGGCTGGCAGAATTTCTTCTCTTAAACAAGTTTTGTTAAAGACCAGAGAATTAGTTTTATTTACCAACTTCTTGTTAGTTTTTTCAATAAGTCGTACTAAATTTGACACAAATTGTCATTTGTGTCAATAAACCTTCGACTATAGTTACCTCAATCGCACTGTCCTGAGTTTCTGACTCCTGCCCATATATATACATTCACAATATTGGATGGAATTTTGCAGCACCAAGTTTAATAAATAGTAACTCAACTGTAAGATTCAAGTTGTTTTGATGAAAAAAAGCAACTACTGCTCATCTCAGAAGCTTAATTAAAGAATTTCCTGTTATATGTTGGGAATGGGGCATAGCAGCGCTGCAGAGGCCTCCGCGCTCGTATACGCTCATGGTGATGCATTATTGAAATAGTTATGATGAGCCTATGTTATAAAATGATCGTGGTACAAATTACATTCTTTCTATTAATTTAGATATATGATCATTTGATGAGGGTTCTGTCAATACATTGGAGTAGTTGAGATGAGAGTTTCATCAATTATCTATGGATACAGTTCATTATTAGAGATTGTTGTGTAATGTGTATAAGTGGTACAGTTGTTAATTAAAAATTATTTATGACTATAAATTGAGGTCATATTCCTTTAATTGAAGTGCAATTGTCCATAGATCGTCGTCCGTTAATAGTGGTCAATGGTCATCATTCACTAATTAATGTAATTGTCCATCAAATTAGAAAGTTCATCACCACCAAGTCCGTCTGGGGTCGGCTATGCATTCTGAAGCGAGCTAGGAGGTGCTTCTCTGCTGGAGTTCTTCTGATTGAACTGCTTTGTTGGTGTCACGCGCTCACCACGCGCCCGCGTCCCGGTGAGTACCATCACATTAATACATAAGACAGGCTTAACTTCTTCGTGTTGTCTGTGTTGATTGCTGTGTAGAGGTAGCCATGATCTTCAAGCGATATTTAATTGATTTTCAGTCATTATTTGGAGGATATTCATATGCTCTTCAACTATACTTTAAACTGAAATTGAAATGTAAGGGAATGGCCGGGCATCGAAGGATTGCCGAGTAATGAGGTGTGTATGATTTGAATGGGATTTACAATTACTGTAAATTATTTAATTAACAGGGCAGCAACTAACCGATTTCTGGCATGTAGGATTCGTTCACTCAACAATTCGCACAAAGTGAAATTTTACGAAGTTACAACAAGCGTATGTGCCACGAATAATTATACTTATTGTTCTAAATACTCTTCTTGCATACCACGATCAGTTTTACTACTTACACTATGATCATGCGCACGGTTTTACGATGCATATTCTCAAGCTTGATACACGAACGATGAGAGCAACAATAAAAAATCTCTTTTTATTATTGTATCATATATGCCTGCTTCTGTTGAGTAAGAATTTTTTTAATACAGTGAAAGTCATTGTTTAAGCAGGAAGAATGTTCAAGAGGATAAATAGTTAATAGCATGTTTTGGACTGAACGAACACGATTAATTGTATCGACTTAAGAATATTCGAGTTAATAGGGGATTTATTGTATACGCCTTACGTCAGATCTTTAAATGCTATAATTGAATACATATCAGATGATCATGCTACATTGTTGGACGCTTCGACAAACTCAAAACATGACCATATATACCCACGAAGATCCTACATGTTTTACAAAGCTTTGCTAGTTCATTACCATGGTATCGAGTGGCCTGGAAAAAGCCCTAAGCGTCAGCAGGACATTGAGGACTCATAAAGTTATTGGTCATACGGCAAGCGTGTGTAAGTTTTACGTTCATGTAGGATATCTTATGAACCCATCAAGGTTGTGTGGGAAGCAAAGGATAGCAGATGGTCGGCAAGATCGCTCTCTGGCTCATCTACCTGGAAAACAGTAGCGGCTTCCTTCCTTCCTCGCTTCCTTCCTAGATACCCGCCCCTTTTCTTTCTTACTTGACTTTTATCTATAATTCCTTAATGGCTCAGGAACAGATGTTCTCGAGGAGCATGTGCTGGACGGACAGACCGCGTCATCGAGTTTTGAAGCGTTCAGCTCGTATTCTTGTGCAGGGAGAATTCATCCTGTCTGGTCGATATTAATCGTCTTGCTGGTAGTAGATCTTCTTCGTTGTTCACACGATCATCACTGACTTACAAGAACTTCTGATAGACTTTCATACCTCAAAGAAAGCTATCATTTCTACTAATTCAACACTTCTGTCAATTTGCTATTTCATATATCGGGGCCGTATATGAATAAAATACTTTTTGCACTACCTTGTAAGAACACGGTGTAACCTTATTGATAATTTTTACAGTTTTCCCATTGTTATCGATTTACGCATTTAGTTTTAGTTGCTCCTAAAAGTTAGAAGATTAGGTTCCAAAGGAAATTTGGTTTTATTTGCTCTGATTAAACATTATTCATTAAAATTATTAAACATTAAATTAAAGTTTAATGAAGTTTTTTCAACTCTTAAAATTTAATGTTTTGAAATTAAATAATTACAACTTTACACGCATTGATTATTTTGGATAAAACTTGAAAATTATTATTGGAAATTATTCCGAAAATAATAACAGTCTGATATATGCAGTCATTTGAAAACGTTTGAGGATCAATCATTGACAGCTATACCAGTTAATTAGAAGTCATATAATTGACTTAATTCGAATGAGAAAAGAAATTCTTAGGTATTAGATAATTTCTGAATTTTTCCTCAAGTGAAAACATTTTTTTTTTTGCGAATAATGGCTAGGCAATCGCTAAGTCTTATAGTCTCATATGCTGCTGTGCCTTGTTTTCATTTATTTTCGATCCACTCAACCAGACCGGTCTTAATTAATGAAGTGTATTGTTTGGTAAGCAATTGTATTATTTTAAATTTTTAGATGCGGGTATTGGCGGACAATGCTAGGGTATCGTTTCTTGAGGCTAGTCTATGTGGGCAGAAATTTTTTACAGATTACCGACTGAAAAACAAAAAACCCAAAGCGCAAAATATAATTTTTCTATAATATTACTTATTATAATGTGTTTATAGAAAGATTAAGTCACACCATTTACCGTAATGAACATGAATGTTTTACTGACTTACGTACGTAGGCAGCAGAACCATCAAAACACTCCTTTCCTCCGTAATGAGTGAATATGAATGTTTTATTACGCTAGGCATGATGTACGGATAGGTTCTCACGGCCTACGTAGACACGGGGCTCGCACTGCAGCTGTTATACGATGTATATCCCATAGGCCCGCTGGGGCCAGCGTGTCCCGACAACAGGCCGTGAGCGACGCTGTTTTTCCGGTCCCATTGAGTTTTTTGAATGTGGGACATGCATGTCATTTGCTTCCTGTTTGTTTATCTCACGGGTGCTTGTTTTTAATTGTGAATATTGTGAATGTAGGCCCTTCCTGAGCGGAACAGATCGCTGCCACTTGAGTGTACCTTCCGTTTGATGTCAGATTTGCATCTGCCAACTGATGGTCACGCCATACATGCACAATGTGTTTGTTAATTGTCAGTCCAATTTATTTGTAATGATTTTTGCTCTATAATTGCACAGAAATTTCCAAATTATTATGTTCACTACGATTATTAATTGATTAGGATTTTTTGATTTTTTATTTACATTTTTAAATATTTTTTTTATGATAAATTGATTTTAGATTTTCCGATTTACAATATTTACGACGTTATTAAATGATAAATGCATGGTGGAAACGAATACGCTTATGATGAATTCCATTTTTTCTGTTCGAATTTTATTATCATTATATAAGTTCGTCAATGCGTCGCGAAATTATTGTGAAATGAAATTTAGGACCATTTCTTT